CACTCACTCACTCACTCACTCACTCACTCACTCACTCACTCACTCACTCACTCACACACTCACGCACTCACTCACTCGCTCACTCACACACGCACGCACGCCCACGCGCGTTCACGCGATTACTCGTGTTGTGTGTTTTTTTTTCAACCCTTCGACATACGGATTAGCTCTACTCTTTGTTGGCCTCCTCTTTCCTTCCACTGTCCTAGTAACCGTTGAGCTCAGGTTATCCTACCCGCGCAAACTCAGCCTCATAATCAAAGACAGCGTACGCGTCCTATCGTTTTGCAATCTCCGGCCGGAACCATCGAGACCAACAGACCCAAACATCCCTATAATTTCAATTAACTGAAGCCACGAGCGACGGTCGCGAGATAAACACGCTCTGTCCGTTTTTTCGATAAAGCAGCGCTTGCTGATTTAGTTTAGTTAACGGAGCAGCAGCACCAGCGTTGCCGCCGCCGCCGCCGGCCGCGATATCAAGTTCGGTACCGCGTCAGCGTTGTGAGCAGAATCTTTCTACGCCGCTAAGCACGGACGCAGTGCATGACGGCGAGCTGAGATTTGTTGGCGGAAGCCTTCGACGCAGCACAAGCGTCATCTACATCCGTCCGCTACTCGCGGCGATGTCGCCATAACGATACCCGGTTTGCAGTCGCTTATCCTTGGATATTGAGATTTGGCTAATATAACACAAGAGATATCGCTCATAAAGCCGCGCGTATGGGAACGTGGGATCGGCGCGAGGCGTTGGACGATTACACTCGTGTACTGTTTGTTGTACTACGCGTGTACGGTTTGTCGATTTAGTCCAACCATATGTCGGTTTACAAACACACACCATATTTTCCGCCAACCATACACATTGTAACGCCGCCAACACTTGATGTTATTTATAAAAACCTTATCTTACTTTACAGAAACACGTGTACATTTTTCCTACCAACAGGATTCGCGCGCCACCGAACCACAATTCCCCCCACGTGCACTAGTTTGCTAAACGATTACACTCATCGATCGCGGGGTGAAAGCGTTGAGCGCGCCGTCTGCCTCGCCGAGCGTGCCTGATTGCAGGCTTCCCACACACTAGCGCTTCAACAGCGTGTGCGCAGCGCGGGGTTTTTATCTGTAATGCGGATTTCGACTCGCGTAGAGACGGCGCAAGCCGAACCTTCCCATAGCGGGAAAGAAAGGGGACGAGAGAGAGCGCGCGAGAGCGCGAGAAAACGAGAGAATGAGGGGGAGAGAGAGCGCGCGTGAACGAGCAAGGTGTTAGCGGTATGTGTGTGCCAGCTGTCACCCTGTGACGATGCCGTTATGTGCTAGACTAAAACATGTGCGCGGCTACAAGCTCGGTCAGACATCCAATTCGCGAGTCCGTGAGCTAGCGTTACGGTATCACGGTAGAAGTACGCCATCGTGACTGCCAATGAGCCAGAAACATAGCAGCAAAATTGAGCTCTTTCAAAATGACATCGCCACGCGGTGGCATACAGATGAAACGCATTGCCGCGCAAATGACATCAGCAGCCTCTCTCTACGCAACGCACGCTGCAGGGTTATAGCTGACAAAAACCGAAGCTATTTTTAAATTGCGCGCGTATAGCGTTGATAATATGCCATTAAAATAAATTGTGCGATTTTACAACGAGCAACCGACTAATAAATCTGAGGTTTTTTCTTATAGAAGAGCAATGTTATGGATTAATATGAGCGGTGTTATTGAAGATTAGGATATAACTAAGATATGATATGATTAAAATATGACTAGGATAAGACCGGCTTCTCATTTTTTACGCTGTCGTGTGTAGTAGTATTTTGTCAAGCTGATTAAAATTCGATGCAGGACATGTAATTAACGCAGCACTACAAATAAATTGGCATAATTTATTTTTCCCACTTCATGAAAATGCAATAAACTCCATTATTGAAAATGATCTCTGACTGTTGCGTGGACGTGTCGTATTTGACGGAGTTGTTGTGAAAAATGCGCGCGTGTGTGCTGTGTGTAAAATAATGTTTAACTGACTTTCTGTACTACGCTACAAAGAATTACTGCTGACGCTACAAGCTGAGATACAAGGAATGACTATACGTCATACACCAGGGTCTTTCCAGGGCCAGGCCGTTCCATTGTTAGTCCGTTAATAGCCTACATATCTATCGTGTGACTTTCGTGTTGTGATTTCTAGTTCTCGATAAATTTTAGCACGCGTTACGGGAGAACACCTGCATCTTTGTATCCATAACAAATTGTCCACTGCGGCCATAATGATCATATAAAAACATAATCAGGTAATTT